AGGGGGATTCCTCAAGTAAAAATACGATTTATTTTTCGTTTCAACATAGGTCCGATTCTGCTTTATTTCGTAGCTACAAGGTGTTAAAATCTTAATAATTTTTCGATTTATTATAATTTTCTTCCACGTACTTTTAGTGATTCGAATGAAATTTTGAGGGTAAAAGTTAGTATAAGTGCTACATATTCTAATGCTAAAAAAGTGTCGATAAATTCATCAGGGGCGTGCATATGGGTTATCACTAAAACATTTTTCGAAAAAAAACGTGCGCCACTGACTTTTTTCTTTTAATATTAAAATTGTGTTGGCCTTTTAATGCCGATTAAAAGTTATCTCGTGACATTTTGTCGAATTCGACCTCCTTGATGAGAGAAACGTAATTTTATTAATCTCAATAAAATTAAAATAAAATTAATAAATTATATATTTTACCTAATTTATAATTAAATATTATTACTATTAATCTACAGCAACTTTAAGTAAAAAAATTAATGGTATTTAAGATAATTATTACAAATAACTAATTTTAAAAAGTTTTAACATACTGTAACTCTAAAACTATGCATTTTCATATCCAAGTTTATAGATACCTTTTTCATAATTTTGATGAGGAATCAATGAGTACTTATTTAAAACTTACGCAAGTTGATGATGTTAAATTTTTTTAAAGGTTGCTGTTAGACTTGGATCAAAGCAAATTAATAAAACCGCGTTTATCTCATCAAGGAGGCAGAAATCGACAAAATATCAAGAGACAACTTTTAATCGGCGTTAAACTGCTTACACTATTTCGCTAGCATGAGAAAGAAAAGTCAGTGACGTACATGTATTTTTTAGAAAAATATTCCAATGATAACCCATGTGCACGTCCCTGGTAAATATGTGGACACTTTTTTAACTTTTACCAAAGACATTATAAAGATAGACCGAACATCTCATTCATAAATACCCGTTGGTAGTGTATCAAACATTCCAATGTGTCAAACAAGGACAGAAGAGACAGAGAAGTCTAAAATTTCCGACCCCGGCAACTAGGCGCATTTGGGATTGTTGTAATGGCCAGTGGCGTATCGTTTTTTGGAACGAATTTAATTAGTAAAGTAAAAGTAAAGTAATTAGTAAAATTTTTACTCCATATTAATATACTACATTAACACTTTTTCGTCAGATGAGTTTTGTTATAATATAATACAATTAATATAGTCTATAAAATGAATAACTTTGAATTTTGACCGTTATTTTTTACCAAAATGGCGAATATAAAATCCCTCTGTCAAAAAAGTTACTGATATTCTTTAAATTGAATGCCTGAACGAATCAGATAGGTAACTCTTTTTACTTTCGTGAAATAGAAAAGGAAAATAATAAAACAAGTGACAGTTCTTCCTCTTCTTCCAAAAATCAACACAATTGTCAAAAGTAAAATGTCATCAGCTTTTGACATTTCTAAATATCAGACCAATGCCGTCTCTGATAGAACAGCCTCGGAGTAAGATTTATGACGTCACGCTAGTTAGATACTACGGATTAATAAAATATGTTGTAGAATACATGTAAAACATAATAATTCCTTGTATTTTTGGTTTGTATTTTAAAAATGATATAGTTTACATGAAATATACATAATAGACAGTTAATAAATACTTTGCCAAATAAACTATGAACCATAGGTACAAATGCAGCAAATGTTTTACAATATACAAATAATGAATAGGTACATAAGATAATGGGTAAAATGTAAAATATATTTTAAATTTTGGGGTTTGAAAATCGATCTAATTTAACAAGAAACATTCAATATCTACTAATTGTGAAGTATTATTATTTGCATTCACAAAACGTATATGTATATTTTGCTAGTATCAATGTTCGAAAAATTATATTTGCAAATAATAAAATATCATAGAAAAAAAGGCGTCAGAGATAGCTATAAAATAAAGATCGCTGTCATTTTATATGTAAAATTATTCGAAAATTTTTGATTTTCTTGGGATTTAGGTTCGGAAAAAACGCTGATTAAGTTTTCATTTGTTTTTTCATTATTTCTTTTTGGTTAAAAAAAAAACGTTTCGGTTAACATCATAGCCTTCATCAGTGTTGTGTCATGAAAAAAATAGTGTCGAATATAATCCAAAAAATTACATATAAAATATTCACACCACACACCACATAATGTTTACTTCAATTAATAAACTAATATAAACTTGTTAAAAGATGACCACGAATTTTTTAAAATTATTATAAACTAACACTTAAACACATTATAAACACTAAAACTATCTACATTGACTATGGAGTACGATTTGAGCCATAGTAAGTAGTAGATATTGAATGTTATTTGTTAAATTAGATCGATTTTCAAACCCCAAAATTTAAAATATATTTTACATTTTACCCATTATCTTATGTACCTATTCATTATTTGTATATTGTAAAACATTTGCTGCATTTGTATGGTTCATAGTTTATTTGCGTTTTATTACTATTTTATTTATTTAAGTTTTATTACTATAAATAAGTAGGTATATATATATTGTATGTTTTAACTGTATATTATGTATATTTCATGTAAACTATATCATAAAATACAAACCAAAAATACGAGGAATTATTATATTTTCCATGTATTCTACGACATATTTATTAATCCGTAGTATTTAACTAGCGTGACGTCATAAATCTGGCCCGAGAAGTTCTTCTATTAGAGACGGCATTGCGTCAGCATGGTCGCAAGTTGCTAACCTAATAAAATTAACACTAGAAATGCCCGCGGCGGGAACTGTCACCTCAAAGTTATTCGTTTCCTGGCTGCGACTGGTCCCACATACTTATGTTGAAACGTTAGTAGTTTTCGAAAATCACTCCAACGTCGATTTTCAATTTAAACTTTCAGTTACTTTTGAATACAGGCTTCCGAAACAATTCTATATTAGGTTTGTGGTTGTTGACTTTTCTTTCAATTTTTTTCAGAATATGGAGGCATTTAGCACATTTTAGACATTTTGTAAACATAGGTGGCCGGAACATATTTTCAAACCAAAGTTGTAGATTTGCCATTAAATTCCATTCCAGAAATAACAGGGCTGCCACTTGTCCTTTTTTGAATAGGACAGTCCTTTTTAGAATAACTTTTTGACTTTTTTTGACTTAAAAGTCATTTTTATTTACGTATTTCTTCCTTTGAGAAATTACTCTACAGCAGCAAACAGAAATATTCTTTTTCGCCCAAATTTAATTAGGAATGTTAAAAAACTTAACTTATAAATAAATTTTTCTGTTTAGATTAGGGCAACATTATTTAGAACTTCCCGTTTAATCTCAAATGATAGTTTAGGTTTTAGTTACCTTTTATTATCTTAAAAGAACTTTTCAAAAATTAGTACCTAATTAGTAACGATTCAGTTAGTTCGCAATCGATAGCTTCCGGTAAAGTACTGTGTAATAGTTGTTTAATCTTGTATTATTAATAACTTCCTATACCTAAAATCAATATTTAATGAGAAAATTTTTTTTTTTTGGAAATATAAGACAAGATTTGACTTTCGGTCATCTTCTTGTATTATGATGGCTCTTATACGAGGCAATTGCCTTTCAGTCTCGCAATAGAAGGCTTTTATCATTAAAAGTATAAAATCTGTGTGCTACACTTCATGAACTGTATTAAGCATATGGATTGCGGTTTGAATCACCTCCCTGTATGTTGGCCAGTGTATTTTGAAAATGTGCGTTACAATGGCCCCATCTTATGTGTGTAAAAATTGAAATAAAAATCACAAACCAAAAACGTAATAGAAAAAAGCCTTGGAGGCCTGCTCGCTCTCTATATAGGTATGTATAAAACTAGTAGCCTAAGAATTATTTGCAGTTCGTCCCATTCTAAAAGAAGGTAAACACACCGTACAAATAACTCTAGGAAGATGTATTTGTATGGTGGTAAAAAATTGTCTAAACAAGGCCGAAGGGGCAGATATAATAAAGCAATAAAATGTAAAAAGGTCGAGTAAACACCTTGTTTATTTATTGAGCAAAATCAGAATATCGTATATAACGACCAAAATAGGACGCAATTTTAAGAAAAAATATCACTTTCTGGCTTGTAATAAAGTTTCAAATGTAACGTTTATATCCAAATTTGTTATGATCTACAACAGTTAGGTAGTAATTGCGACGAATTATAATTCAATTACCGGCTACTACGTTCTTGTTTTATTAGATCAAAATTCAACAAATATAATTAGAAATTATTTACTGTGAGAGGTCTCCTTGTGGGACGCCTATGTACGATTACGGCGCGGCGGAAACAATACCTACCTGTGAAAAGACAAATTCGGGTAATTTGAGTTTATTTGTCCACACATTTGACACTGTCGTACCTCAATCAAAAATTATATTGAAAAATCTTCACATTCAAAAGTACGTTAAACAAAAACAAAACTACTGAAAACACTGAAAAGTTCACTTCGGACTTAATTCCGACTTCGAACACACCGTAAGCTAAACGTAGTACGCTATAACGGATCAAGGGCCGTTGTGAGGGGTGGTGGGATTGACGGCTCATTTCATTCTGGAAGACTAGCAGCGACGTTGCCAATAGTTCTACGTTTGTTACTAAACAGTAAACATGTCCTTTAATAGTAACGCATATATCCTCTGGTTAATAACATATTATTACGCATGCTTCTTTCAAAATAAACTATTAATTTAATTAAGAAATTGAGATTTATTGATATCCGGTGAAGGTTTTAAAGTCACCTTTTCTGCAAATCAAACTAAGTAGATAGGCGCAAATTTGAGATGTGGCAATGTTGCCTTCTCTATTTCAGTTGGTTTTTACATTACGTAGTCAACCTCCGATTGTTTGATCGGGTTAAAATGCACAATGTTATATCTGTTCTTACTAAATCTATGACTTTTACCCTCAAAATTTCATTCAAAACGCTAAAAATACTTGGAAGGAAATTATAATAAATCAAAAAATATTAACACCCTGTATAAATGCATTATGAAGCTCCACAGTATTTTTCTTTTACGCTTTTTGGACTTACCAGGTTTGGCTTGAAGGGGGGTTCCAATTTTCTAGCTTCTAGCGCTGGCCAGTCTATTGGTTGGAAGAACGGATGATCCTGTATATCGCCATGAGGCGAAAATCGGTTCCCAAGTCTCTTATTTGCATCTTTTTCCAAAAACTACACAGACAACAACACGACTTAAAAAAAGGAGAATTGTAGTTATACAGGGTTGTTCACCACATGCGATACGGAGTATTGTAGCTGAACGATGAGATCTTTACAAATTGAAAAGTTTTGGGTTCGATGAAGGATTAGAGGTACAATTTAAAAATATTTTTACATGATACAGAGTGTCCCAAATAAGTAAAAAATATCTAAGTTGTATTTTTTTAAATGGAACACCCTGTATATTATTACATTTTAGTTTCTACGATTAAAATAGTTGGTAAATTTGATTAAGGTTTATTATACTTAAACCTACTGTTTTTGAAATATTTTTCTTCAATTTTGTGAAATTGCAGTAAAATTTTAAGGTTTTATTTCTCCAAGGGTATCAAAGTTTTTAATACTAAATATTTACTGAAGTTTATCTATTGATCAGTTATTGTGTTGCAATAATAAAAATAATACTACCTTTTACAGAGTGTTCTGCAATTTATTTTAAATAATTATTAGATTCAAACGGCAATAACTTGTTTAATTGCAGAAATGGAACGCCCGGTATATCTTAGGAGAATCAGATGCACAATTTAATTGTCTATCAAATTGTGTTATACCATTTTTTACCTATCCCTTCAAGTTTTCGTAGAAAATGCATTTTCTTATAATTTAGACTTCATTTATCAATATACCTGTGGAATATTGATTTAAGATTGTTTTTAAAGATGTACCAAATTTTAAAGAGTACAGATACTAATATCATCGAGAGGTAACTGAATTTTGTATGGGTATTGTGACAGTGTGATAAAAAGTAACACCTTAAAAATTATATTTGATTTTTAATAAATGCTTATTTATAACAACAGAGACTTTAATTGTGATAACTTATTATTATATTGATTTCAGACTCAAATCCACATTTATTTAGAATAATTTTATTAACGAACACAATTATATATGTAATTAATTAGTATAAGGGCGGAAATAATGGTGGTATATTTAATTAATGGTATACTCTCTTTTATAAAGATTTAAATAGTTTTCTTTTTGTATATCGGGTTAGTAAGAGGCTACGTAATTGCTATAAAACCACTGAGTGAAAATATTTATTTCCGTGATTTTACGTAAAAAATGTCTCCTTGGTAAAAATCGCTAGGATCACCCGTACTCAAGATATTTAGAATGGAAAATAATCAATACATGTCAATATTGAGAGAAAATAAACATGTTGAGTAGATAGTTATTTCATTGAAATGATAAATTTAGGAACTTCTTTTTTTTTTAGAATTAATTATACATTTTCTTCGAAGAAATGATGATAAATGTTTCTTGCTGAAATGTTGGGTAACAAAAACATTCTCTAAATTCTATGATTTCAGTTGGTTAGGTTAGGTTTATTCCAACATTTCGAGAATCATTATTCGTGGCGATTTTTACCAAGAAACCGTCGTTAATGTATATATTTTTTACTCAGTAGTTTTATACCGGTACGGACAAAAAGCATACTCTTCAAAACAGTTAAAACCATAGACTTAAAATAAAATATAGACTAAACTATTTACATCTCAACGCGGACAAACAACCTTTTTGTACACATGTTTACATCTGGGTACAGTCGACTGAGCCTCTCAACCAGCCTATGTTGTCACGTCTTTAATATTATCAATATTTTTCTTGTTATACATATATTGAGATATTAATACTACAGTTTAATAAAGTAGGTTTTAATATTCCATGATGTATTAAATAGTCCTTATACTACTAAATTATAAGTCGGATACTGTTTAATAAGGGATAAGTTCTTTACAATATGACAACAACGATTAGAGTAAGTGAGGAAGCCTATTCATTCATTTACTACCTTGTAGTACGCATCGCACGTGTCCGGTAAAGCTTTGTTGCCGCAATCTCCCCGGCTGTATTAACGCATTTTCTTATTTGTAGTCCTTAAGTGTTTATTTTATTGACTTTTCTTGTCTAAAACTATAAAATATGGTTCGCCAGTTCCAAATTTTATAAGAAATTTGACTTAAATAATCCATTTAAGTCTTGAAACGACTTTGGACCGGTAGGCAACTCTCAATTTACCCATTGGCAGTCAGTAGCGTTGTTGTAGAAAGGCGTTTATTTAGATAATATTTTAGTAAACAAAATCTGAATTTTCTTTACATTACATTTCATTTACTTCTCACTTACATTGTAACAAAATCATAATTATAACCCTGTTAATAATTAATAATGTTTTTATTAAAATTTTTTTTTTTTTTTTTTATTCTAAAATTATCTCAGAATCTAAAAATAAATATACAAGTAGCCCTTAAAATGATATTACATTAAGGAAACAATATTTTTAATATACTGGTGCGTCTCGAAAGTGACTCATCCCTATAACTTTTTTTATTTTTTCAAATAAAAAACAGATTTGTATGTTGGTAGGTATATGACATAAACTAGGATTTGTATTGACGTATTCAATTGTTTTGGTCTCCTTTCTCTCTGTTTCAATTGTAAATGATTACTTCTTTGATTTTTAAAGGCACCCGGTATATTGCTACTCTTTATTCGATAAAAATGACACCTTGAATAGAATGACATATCAGATGTCAACTTTTGACATTGTCGCTTAAAACATATCCCATTTTAAATTTCAATCCAGTTTTTCTCAATCCACTAAGTTTTAATCAAGGAGCCTTGGAAAATAGTTTTGATCGTCTAATAGGTTTCGTGTCTTGTCTAGGCTGGTTAAAAGATGTACAAATCGTATTTTTAATCATACATATACAATTTTTTCAAATGGAACAAGTAAGGACTCATTAGCATATTTGAAAGCATTTTTTATGGAATATATTGATACCACACACTTGGTATTTGAGTCAAATTTTCATTACAAAATATAAAAAAAAAAAATTACAATTACAATTAAAACCATATATGCTCAAAAGTTGACATATGATATGTCATTCTATCTAGAGGTCATTTTCATCGAATAAAGTAAAAATATACCGAGGGGTGCCGTTTAAAAATTCTAAAAGTTATAGTCATTTCCGGTGAAACAGGGAAGTGTCTCAAAAAATTGAATACGGCCAATCAATCCTAATTCTATTTCATATATGCTAATATACTAAATCTCGTTTTTTATTTGAAAATATAAAAAATTCATGGGGATGTGACGCTTCACTTTTGAGACGCACCCGGTATAATAAAGACAGTACCATTAAATAAATGTGTAGTTTTTATTTTATCCACTTCCTATCACCTTTGCTTTAATGGAAATAGATTTGTATGTTTTCTAATTTACATAATAAGACATCATTTAACCAGAAAAAAAAACAAAAAAAAAAAAAAAATTTTTTTTCTCTCCCTGTCGCTGATTCTATTATATCTGTGGAATAGATCCCGTTTTGATTAATATTAGGTTGTAATGTTTGACTAAAATTAATAATTTCCATTATTAATTCCCAAAAATTACCCAATTTCCTTGATTATAAAATAAATTAACAAAAAAAAACGTATTTTATTATTTTTATCCTTTTGACTCTTAAATTGTTTTTCTAAACTTTTATTTAAAAAAAAAAAAAAAAAAATTTAATAAAAATAAGTAAAAGTTTAAATACGATATATTTTAATTTAATCTATAGCTCTTACTAAAATAAAAAATTAATTCGGCTAAGGATAATGGAGAGTTTAGGTGTACTTGAGAAACGAGACAGTGTTGTGTTTCTAGGCAGAGTCGTCAGGGAACGACCGATATGACAGAGACAACCTATCTATCGCCCGTGTCGCACTCGTTATAACCAAAACAATAACACAACAATAATAAGACAGTGTCTGACCGTGGCTGTTCCAGCGCTTAGATGTAAATAGTGTAGTCCATATTTTATTTTAAGTCTAAGGGTAAAACATTACGTAGTTGGTGCCCCTACAAATAGGGAGCTCATATTAACATCAAAATCAAATTTCATGTCAAAAAACTACACCAATTTTCATCCATCAACATTGACGTTAATATTGATGTTGTTTCAGAAATTATTTGAAAAATCGAAATAAAAATAAAATTCCACACCCTGTAATTCCGAAATTAAGCATTTTAGGAACATGACAGTAAAACTACAGTACATTAGAAAAAGTACCACTCTTTTACTTATTTCTATCCGCAGAATATGCTGCCGAAGTTCTGGAATACAGTCTGGTCCACCCCTGTATATCAGGGCTATAACCATACCAAACTGGATGTTCATATCGTTTTCTCTTAAAAGTTAAAATAAAAGAAATAGTGCAGGATAACACAAATTTATTGCTTTGGAAAATGTGGTATTAATTTCATCGCTAGAATGAACAACAATCTCAAAAGTTGTTCCTTGCTCCATGTTGGAGATAAAAGATAATATAGGGCGTTAGAAAAGTTTTGAATGTATCGATACACAGCAGCAGCCTATAAACCATAAGCCAGTGGCATTTAATTTTTAAAAAAGCTTTGAAGAATGTGTAATATCTAAAAAATAGTAAAGCAAATTGTTTTTTTCAAATAAATTCAACACATTTATAACACTCAAAATACAATATTTGAAAGATCTCGAAGATTACTCTATATTTGAACTATGTTCTATAGGTTGAGAGTATCAAGTTGAATTTCAAATAAAAAAGAAGAAAGAAACAAGAATTATTAAATCAGCAAAATAGACTAAACTAAAAAAAGAAAGAAAAGTATTAATAAAAAATTAAAGAAAAAAAATATAACTAACCTAACCTAACACAAACAGCAAATAAACAAGAGTTATTAAAACTCATTTATTTGAAATCGTTTATTGAGCTGTGTATCTCGATTTCATGTTCACAAACCAATATGATATCGATGAGCATACATTTTGAACGATTCTCTCCCAAACGCGATAAGCGTTTAATAACGATGTGTAGGGAATTTTCTCGAACATTATTGCATTTAGATTATGAAAAGGCAAGGGCGATTGAGCCAAAGGTCTCGGTATTTTGTTGATATAAAAATCGATAACCCTGGACACGCCTAAATTATATTCAATAAATCTGTTTAATAACTTGGCTAAAAATTAATATAATAAAAAAAATTATTATTTTTCTTATTTCTGTATGTTAAAAAATTAATGTAAATTTGCTCTACCAGCTAAAGGCCATTAACAGGTAGGTTTACGTTTGGATTTTAACGCAATTATATTTTACAAAAAATGTATTTTTTTATATTTAAATTTTTATTTCCGAAGCAAAATTTTCAGGCCTTTTTTTTAGAAATTAATTTATTTCTAAAGCTCTAATATTAGTAGTCTCGATTATATTTTATACTTAAGATTTTACGATTATTCACAATGTCCAAAAAATGAAATTAAAATTAATAGAATATCCTAGCAACAGCTAGTCTGTTGTATCCATAGAGAAAGTCTAATAATTAGCTTACAAGACATTCACCTTTTGATTTCTTGCCACCATTTCTCTTGGCGGATGATGATCAAAGGCCAAAATAAAATTACTCGCAAATTTTAAAGTATAATTAGTGGAAAATACGAAAGCGTAGAGCTGCCATCGCAACATTTAAGAATATTTATTTAATTTAGAATTGTTAAACTTAGGACATACATGTTTCCTAGCAGGCATGTCAAAATTTCCTTGCGATTTAATTCGATTTGAAAGTAGATTACTACCTCTTAACTACTGAGTAGTCTTGCTGGGTACGATAGTCTAATATTTCGCATGCAATTTACAGAAAAATTGTAAATTCACAGAAAACTGCAAATTCACAGGAAATTTGTAAATTTACAGAAAAATGTAAATTTAGGGAGAAACTGTAAATTCACACGAAATTTGTAAATTTACAGAAAATGTGTAAAGTTGCAGGAAAACTGTAAACTCACAGGAAATTAGTAATTTTACCGAAAAACTGCAAATTTACAGAAAATGTGTAAATTTACAGAAAAAGTGTAAATTCACAGTAAACTGCAAATTCACAGGAAATTTGTAAATTTACAGAAAAATGTAAATTTATAGAGAAACTGTAAATTCACAGGAAATATGTAAATTAACAGAAAAAGTGAAAATTGTCAGAAAAAGTTTAAATTTGCAGAAAAACTGTAAATTTACAGAAAACCTGTAAATTTACAGAAATTGTAAATTTACAGAAAATGTGTAAATTTATATAAAAACTGTAAATTTACAGAAAATGTGTAAATTTACGGAGAAACTGTAAATTCACACGAAATTTATAAATTTACAGAAAATGTGTAAAGTTGCAGGAAAACTGTAAACTCACAGGAAATTAGTAATTTTACAGAAAAACTGCAAATTTACAGAAAATGTGTAAATTTACAGAAAAAGTGTAAATTGCCAGAAAAAAATTAAATTTGCAGAAAAATTGTAAATTTACAGTTTTTCCGTAAATTTACACGTTTTCTGTCATTTTACAGAAAATTTGTAAATTTACAGAAAATGTGAAAATTTACAGAAAACAGTAAATTTACAGAAAAACTGTAAATTCACACGAAGTTTGTGAGTAACGAACAGGTCGATGCCGAGACGTCTTCCTGCTGAGTACGATAGTATGTTTCGCATGCAATTTACAGAAAAATTGTAAATTTACAGAAAAATTGTAAATTTACAGGAAAGTTTAAATTTTTAGAAAATGTGTAAATTTACAGGAAAACTGTGAATTTATAGAAAACCTGTAAATTTACAGAAAATTTGTAAATTTACAAAAAATGTGTAAATATATATATGAAAACTGTAAATTTACAGAAAATGTGTAAATTTACGGAGAAACTGTACATTCACAGGAAATTTGTAAATTTACAGAAAATGTGTAAAGTTACAGAAAAACTGTAAATTCACAGGAAATTAATAAATTAATAGGAAATTACAAAAATTAAATTATTTCACAGGAAATTAATTAATTAATTAAATTTACAGAAAAACTGCAAATTTACAGAAGAGGTGTAAATTTACAGACAAATTGTAAATTCACAGGAATTTTGTAAATTTACGGAAAAAGTGTAAATTGCCAGAAAAAAATTAAATAAGTAAAAGTGTAAAGTAAAAAATTAAAAGTGTAAATTTACAGAAAATGTGAAAATTTACAGAAAACTGTAAATTTACAGAAAAACTGTAAATTCACAGGAAATTTGTGAGTAACGAACAGGTCGATGCCGAGACGTCGTCTTGCTGGGTACGATAGTATATTTCGCATGTAATTTACAGCAAAATTTTAAATTTACAGGAAAGTTGTAAATGTTTAGAAAATGTGTAAATTTACAGGAAAACTGTGAATTTATAGGAAATTTGTAAATTTATAGAAAAATGTAAAATTACAGAAAAAACGTAAATTTACAGAAAAGTTGTAAATTTACAAGAAATTTCTAAATTTACAAGAAATTTGTAAATTTACAGAAAATTTGTAAATTTACAGAAAAACTATAAGTTTACAGGAAATTTGTAAATTTACAGAAAAAGTGTAAGTTGCCACAAAAAGTGTAATTTTACAAAAAGACTGTAAATTTACAGGAAACTTGTAAATTTACAGAAAAAGTGTAAATTGCCAGAAAAAGTGTAAATTTACACAAAAACTGTAATTTTACAGAAAAACTATCAAATTTATCTTGATGCTTTAAGTATCTAATAAATGTGTCTTACCTCTGGGGCCATATAATCCGGAGTACCGCAGAACGTATCCGCCATCCTATCGAGGAAAATCTGGAGTTTGCACATGCCGAAATCGGCGATCCTGACGTGCCCGTCGAAGTCCAACAATATATTGTCCAATTTCAAGTCCCTGCAAAGAAAATAAAGTTTAATGAAATCGCCTGAATCGACAAAAAAGAGATCGTCTGTGTTTTTGTCTCCGTCTGGGTTTTCTTTATTTTTTTTCGTTTAAGTTACAATGTCTTACATAAATAAAAGAAACAAAAAGAGGAATTTATGTGTTTTAATAAACTCAGTACTAGTTGAGATTGTTGATTTACTAGTTTCATAAAAAAATTTTACTTAAGTATTTAAGAGCTTTTATTATCATAAAAGCTCTTTTTCTTATTTTAGAAAAATACTGCCCTATATAATCTCAAATTGGTACAAGAGAGAAAAGCCTACGTCCGAAAATAATATATTTTGTTAAATTTATCGTAAAACGCAATATCTTTATCACGCACAGGGGGAAGAGATTGCTAAAAAACCAACCAGATATCTTTTTCTTTCTCACACTAGCTGGAAAAACCTCATGAGCGTAGAGGAAAAAAGAGTTTTTGAGTTATTAAGATCGTTTCCTGTAATATTTCATCGGGATAAAATGTATTCTCTCCGGGCCTACGATAATTTTTATTATTTAATATTTCATCAGAAAGAACACGGTCTCAATTTTGTTTTATAAAAGTGTTATTAGTGTTATTTTTTAACCTGAAAGCAAAGAAAGTAATATTTTTTCATCATTAACTTCAAAAAAAGTTTTAGAATTTTGGTAGAACCAAAAAAAAATATTTTAATAGTAATTTCTATATAAATAAATCAAAGTCTCAATTATTATTAATTTTTGATGATATTTTGCAATATGACGAGGTGGCTTTGGTCACTATTATCGTACGGTCATATTGATAATTACATTTTATGATTACATGTTGTGTGTTAAAGCGTAACGCGTATTATTTAACGTATTATACAGGGTGTATTAACTTAGGGTAAAAAAACAACCTTTCGATTAATAATATAATAAACCAAATACTAAAGTTATAAAAACTGAATTTATAAATTAAAGTTGATATATTAATAAACAATTTGCTAAAAACTCAAGAAAATAGGACTAAAAATGAAAAATATATCAACCAACCAAAACATTCCAACCAAACCAAAACACTTTAAATTTGACAAAAAAAAAATCCGATACGTTTTTTTTTGCATCTGAGTGTAATTAACATTAATTTCTTAATTTGGCTGTCTATGAGACACATTTTTTTCCAAACATAATTTTCCAAACATAATTTTTCAAACATAATTTTCCAAACATAATTTTCCAAACATAATTTTCCAAACATAATTTTCCAAACATAATTTTCCAAACATAATTTTCCAAACATAATTTTCCAAATATAATTTTCCAAACATAATTTTCCAAACATAATTTTTCAAGCATAATTTCCAAACATAATTTTTCCAAACATAATTTTTCTAAACATAATTTTTACAAACATAAGTTTTCAAATATAATTTTCCAAACAGGTAACCTCTAAGCGTAATTTCAAGACAGAAAAGTTTTACTGTAATCATAATTAGAATGTTTGAAATTTTCTTTCGGCGTCTCAGCTGTTCACCTTTTCTTGGAAAATCCGACGAAAATCAACATCGTCGGAAGTAAAACAAACATTTAACGCTGCCAATCTGATTAGTTCAAGCGTCTCTTAGTTCGAACGATCCGTCACTTGGCCTTCCTCGCGCTTCGATTATCTTTCGTTCCCGCCATATTTTCTACCTTGGATGGAAATTCAGAATTCAGAGCGATAAAAGTTACCAGTAGCAGGAGCCAACAACCGAGTTATACAAATCCATGAGCTTAAGAGTCCATTTCACTACAAAATAAAACAATAAATCACCACAATACACCAAAACGTTTGCTAATCCATGTTAGCATCATCAGCAGATGATTATATACTAAAGTACAATCTACAAGTTGAGCGTTTATATACTCGCTCAGTGGGCACCGAGTGGGCGTGGCAAAATCTAGCCAAACCGAGTCAGAGCCAACTGAGCGTAACAGTTAAATTTCCGCCACTAGAGTAGTAGGAACAAAGAACTTGAAGGAATTGGACCGTTGACTCTGTTCATACTATCTTTACATTTATTAATTCTGATGCTTTCATATGCATCTAATTGCTTGTAATTTGAGACTTGTTTAATTAATTTTAAATTATTAAGATCTATACAATGTTCTTTATCAACAATATGTTCGGCAACGCAAGATTTATCCGGTCTACCATATCTTATCTGAGCTAATGTCCTTTAAATCTAGTTAATATTGATCTTCTAGATGGTGGTCATATAATCCATCTTATTCACAAAAATGTTTCTTATGTTTTAAATTTACTATGCATGGGGTTACATATAAATTCATCAACATAATCATTTCAAAAATTACACATCATACTTCAATATGATTGCTGGATGTTTAAGATTTTTAACACTTAAATTGTTGTCAAATAATTGTGTTAATTATGTAAGTATTTTAACTCATTAAGCTTAAAACTTTAAAACTGAATTATATCTTTTTAAATGATGGTTTGAAATACTGTTATATACAGTTTTTCTATCAGATTATGTCTATAATATTATAAATAATCGTTTTTTCGGGCAGTAATCTACGCTATGGAAAGATGCGTACAACTTAATCTTAAATAGAAACTATCGGAAACAGGAGATAGTGAAGCAGCACTTAAAACCATCAATTCGAAATCTGAAAAGGATATAACTTGAGAATGCAATCTAGAGATCAGAAGAGGTACCACAATAGATCTGTAAAGATCGCAGTGGAATATACCAATAATAGCCACCTCACAAAACCTCTATCCAGAATATTTGTCACTCTAAGTCTTTTAATCTCTGATGGGGAAAGGTAACTCGATTCAGACGTTACGTTCTTCAGGGGACATGCCGATGAAGAGACGTAGTTTTGGAGATCTTCTGATTTATTCTGTCAATATTTCGACGTCGCGCAAAATAACAAGATTAGCGAACGTTTCGGGCTTGTTTTGCAACAGTTTTTGAGCGGAAGAGGCAGGCGTCAATAGACTTCTTTCGGTTTGTTTACCTCTAATTGATTTTGTTAGCCGTCAAGAAAATTTCTTTGGCTCTTCTTAAGAGTTCAGGAAGCAAATTTATCAAATTTAATTGAAAATGGCTGGAGTAACCATTTGATTATTTTAGTTCTCTCAAAGTATAGTTATTTTTTTCTTAAATAGAGTCATAACTCCCTTGGGGCATTATTAAAGAAAAAGAAAAAGAAAAGGAAAAGGAAAAAGAAAAAGAAAAAGAAAAAGAAAAAGAAAAAGAAAAAGAAAAAGAAAAAGAAAAAGAAAAAGAAAAAGAAAAAGAAAAAGAAAAAGAAAAAGAAAAAGAAAAAGAAAAAGAAAAAGAAAAAGAAAAAGAAAAAGAAAAAAAAAGAAAAGAAAAAAAGAAAGAGAAAGAGAAAAGAGCCTTCCTCAGGCTGAAGCACACATTGTACCGTTGTTTGATTCTTAAAATTATAAAACAAAAAAAAAATCTGTAAAATTATAAAACTAAAAACCATCTCAGTCGAAAAAAATATTTTATTTTAGCGTATCCCTGAGCCAGAGTTATTCTAACGATATATATTTCTAAAGGAAGTGGAATAGGAAGAAATAAAATATCAAAGAGTCCTTAGTTAAGGCAAATCTTTTTGCGAAGTGGATGGCTGTGATTGTCGATGAAGCAGTAGAAAAAGCGTCAAATTCTGAGAAAAAAAACCAGTAAAGTAGGATAGTAAAGAAGGTTAGAAAAAAGGATCTTAGACCGTATTCAAGCTAGACACAATCTCTGAAAGACATTTTATTTATTATAAGTATTTAAAAAAAGTATTTTAGAACAAATCTTATGTTTGGATTTTACCAAATCCTTATCACCTGATATTTGCTGTTCAATTTATTTAGTAGAGTTGCCTTAAGCGTTACATACTAATAAAAGATAGTCGAGGCACAATTACAGCCTACCATCAAAACTACCGTAAGTAAACTAAACAAAACTACCGTTAATTTCAATAATTAATTTAAAGACTTTCCAGATGGAATTTGTACAAACTGATTTTACCTATACATATCTACAGGGTGGCGCCTCTCATTCGCCGCGGAAGCTCCAAGGAGAACGGTAGTTTATATCGAAATGAAAATTTTGCAGCATTTTATTAACATTAACTGAAAGCATTTTATAAAAATATATAGAATTATACAGGGTGTCCCTAAAAAAAGTTACACATCAAAGTTGTGTTTTTTTCTGATGGAATACCCTATATATTAATTGATTTTCGGATTCTAGGAAAAAATTAAAGGTAAGTTTTATTAAAGAGGCATATACCTAAAATCTAAGGATTTTGACATATTTCACATTTTGTGAAAATGAGGAGTAAATTTAAAATTTCGATAACAGCTACCTAAATTTTAGTTGACCTTGTATAGCCTGATATTTAATTACAGTAACCATTGTATGTTAAACCAAAATGAAATTTGACCCGAAATGTTATACAGGATGAGACAAAATTAATATGGAAAATTAGTCACTTACAAAAGCTAAGTTACTCCTTTATTTTAAATGGAACACACTGTATATTTTTCCGGTGTTCAATGGGGAATTTATATATCTTCAAAATATTATTAAGGTTTATACCTCAGTATACCTCAGTACTGTATTACCCCTCAGAGAAAGATTTTCCTAGATATTTTAATTTTTGTGATTTTGCGTCAGTAGATCTTTATTATTTGAAAAAATCTAGGGTGGCTGTGATATACCTTATGTTAATTTAACAAAAATTAAAGATTGTATAGTAAAATACTCAACGGTAATAAAAAGATACACGTTTAAAACATTTTTTAATATTATTACAGAATTAAAACTAGATATAAACCTATAATTATGTGACAAAAATTACCTAGATAAAATCAGATGCTCAAAATGCTTCCTTTCCTGTTAACTGCATAAAATGATTGTCTTTTCAAAAGGATCTTTTCATTTTAAAAGGCATATGTGGAGTTCTACCTAGAAAAGTAGCTACAATAATTTCTC